ATGGGGCAGACTCCAGAAAAGTCCAGGCTTGCCTCTGTTCAAAACTGGGGCAAGGTCCCAGAGCAGGACTCTGCAGGGCAGAGTGTAGGCTCTGGGAAGATCATGTTGCACCTTCAGCTGCCACTGTCCATTCACATTAGCCATTGAGGCAAGCCTATCACACTGAATTCTGTTCCCTGTGTCCTCTCTTCCTCCAAATGCCTGAGTAGGGTGCCAGCAAGGTCCTTTAACCAGCAGTTCCCGTCCTGATGGTCTCCTGCATGTAAGAAAAGCTCTTTTGGGCTGCAGACTTAGCTAAGTGGTACAGCTCTTGCCTGGTATGCTTGAGGCCCTAGGTTCAATCCCCAGCACTGCAAAACAAAAGCAAGAAAAGCTCTTTCAAAGAAGAGAGACGTAGACATCTCATTGTCCAAGGAATTGTAGACATATCACACTGTGAATTCTTTAGAAGGTGTAATCTTCACTGTAAGATTCAAGCATTTCCCTCCACCCTCCAACCTTTGATGCAACCTTCAGGACACTCCTTAAATGGTAGCTGAGGAAGGAAGACTTTAGCTGCAAAAAATGAGGCCTAACTTTGAAGTATTAGAGGCAACTTTCCAATCTTTACAAAGACAAATCCTCAAAGTAGAAACTCTTCCTCCATTCGACAGAACTCTGGGTCCAGCAAGAGCACTGAGCCCCACATCTTGGGAGGACTGGCACCTTTCAGCATTAAATGGGACTCCATTTTGTCTGAGTGTTGATGAGACTTTATGAATTTCCACTTAAAACATGAGTCTTAACTTCCTTTAAAAAGCCCCATGAATATCTGGCTGTAGCTTAGCCCAGACAGTGAAACAAATGATAGCCAGAAGGTGGTTGCTGTTTTTGCAAACTGAATTTGATTTCATGATACTGTCTAGACAGATCAGAGAATTTAATTCTCCCAAAGAAAATTTCCAGTCAATGCAAATATGGGACATTCTTTAAAGGAATAGAAGAGAAATGCCTAGTATTTAGAAAGCACCCTATCACTGGAAGCTGGGTTGATTTTTTTTTTCAAACATTTTATCTTGAGTTGTACTTTCTAATAAAGTTGCCAGTAGGCGTGTGTGGCTATTTAAATTGAAGTTCACTAAGATTTAATTTTAAAATTCAGTCTATCAGTCACACTAACTGTATTTGAAGCACTCAATAGCTACATGAGGCTCCTTCCAGACTGGACAGGACAGATATAGAACTTTCCATCATCACAGAAAGTTCTATTGGACAGTACTGCTCTAGAGAGAAATCCCTTATTATGTCATGATCTCTCTTCCCCATCTTGATCCCCTCCCCCATCCCCATTGTTCTTCAATTGCCAAATGGAGTTTTCCCATCTCTTTCTGCCAAGAAGTAGGAAAGTGGCTGTTTACTCTTGGCTAACGGTGATGGAGAGCATAAAGTGCTAGATACCTCTGAGGGAATTAGTCTTCATTAGAATGTGCCTTGTTTGTTAAAGCATGCAGTAGAGAGAGGTAACATGCATCCCAATACCACAATCACTAGGTGTCCTTAATAATACCCCCTTCGTGCAGTTACAAGTCACTTAAGTTAATCCATTTCTCCTGAGCCTGCTAAATGGATAATTGAATTAATTCTTTGGCAGCCTTAGTGTAAGTTTGGAGTTTAAATCTAGAAGCTTTGCATACTCCTGACCCACCCCTGCCCACTCTGAGCAAAAATGATCACATCATGGTTCTGCTCAGAGCTTATGAAAGCAAGGTCTGCGTATTATTCATCTTTGTATCTCCAGTGATGAGCCAGGACCTACCTGGAAAAAGAAAGCACCCCAGGGAGTGTTTGTTGAAGAAATTAATTAATCAATTCCCTAATCAATCAAGATGCCTTCATTGTTCCCAATAGGACTTTTGCTGATTATTCCTACAGAGAGTTCATTCCTCAGCACAGTGATTTGCAAATCTGGCTGCACGTTAGAATCGTCTAGGGAGCTTTTGAAAACTACTGAAACCAGGGCCCCTCTCTGAACCAATAGAATCTGAATCTTGGATGATGAGGCTCAGGTATCAGGGAATTTTGTAAATGCTCCCCCAAAGGATCGTATTGTGCAGCCAGGAGTGAGAACCACAGCCAGCAAGTTACTGATGTGGGAGCCATAAATAAGTTTTCATTCTTTTTGATATTTGCACCTAAGTCTCATCTCATCCATGGCTATTTTTGCTCCCAGTATGACATAAATCTGGTCTCACTAGTTGCCTTCCTCAGTTATGAAACATCCCCACTATTCCCAAAAGAAATTGTGGGGGGAGAGAGAACACCCTGGGGGAACTTTCTTTCAATGTCTTCAAGAAGATTCAGGGTAGTACTGTATTGAAACAACATAGGATAATATCTACTCTAAAATCCCTTCATTAAAAGCTGACTACATTTGAGATGCTGATTTGTTAAAAGCAGAATACAAAATCACATGCATGCTATGATAGTAAGTATGAAAAAATATAGCCACTATATTTTTTCATACTTACTATACGAAGTAAGTACTTCATACTGTACTTACTTACAGTATGAAGAAAAATTTGTACTGAAGATAAATGAACCAAAACTCTAGTTCTAAGTGTGGGTAAAGTAAGAGTTGAATGTGGGGAGACCAGGCAATGGATATGCTAGTCCCGCTCATAAGTCTTAGCTGGGAAAAAAAATATTGGCTAGAAGGAGCTTCCACTGGGCTGGATGAAGTGTACTGGGTATCACCATAGGTTTCTTCAAATAGGAGTAAGGAGCCCTGAGCAATGACCAAGCCAGAATCAGAATGTAAGGTAACACGCAGCAGTAGGTAAGAAAGATACAGATGGGAAGAAGACAAGGCTGTGGCTAAGAGCATGAGGAGAGGAAGGCTACAGGGCAAGAATGGACACAGGGCTCAAGACGAAGCTGGGAAGTCCAGGAAGTGCTGGGCATCCATGAAGAGCGTTCTAAAGAAGAGTATCTGGCAAGATTTTTGTATTTTCTTGCCTTTCTAGTTCCAAATATCATGTGATAGTTTCCTAACATTAAAAGTTGTGTTGGGTATTTTGTTAAATTGAGACAAGAAATAGATACAAAACGATGGCTATAATTTATTGAGCATCTACTATGTACTTGAGACCAAACAAGGCTGCACATACACTGAGTTAATTTTCTCCATAAACCTGAGAGAATGCCACTATCACCAATCCCACCTTAGAAATGAGAAAACTGAAGCCAATTGACTTCCAGGGTCACACGGCCAGGAGGTATCATGACCAGAACTCTGTCCACATCTGTGTGACTCCAAAGAGATGTGTTTGTTCAGTCACCCAGACCAAGTTTTATCTGAATTTATAAAAAGTTCCCCATAACACCTCAACTCTGCACATCACCAAAGGCCACCTCTTCTGTCACCAGAAGGTGATAAGCTCATGCTGATGCTGGTGATCCTCCCACATTTTCATTATGTGAGACATGGTGAGGCTTTTATGAGACTCGACCACAGGCTGTTTTTCAAATTTATTTAATTCATCCATCATGCTCTGAAGCCATTTGCTTTTTTATATTGGACAGATGTAATGAGATTTTGGACACTAAAAAATGTTTTTATTAAAAGTTATGACCCAGAGCTAGTTGGAAGGGGCACTGCCATAAATCCCTAGGAGTGTGTGAATTTATAAAGGATGTAGCGACATAACCTTAACCTTTAAGGCTACACCATAGATTAGGATCACTTAGACTAATATTGTCTCACCATTGCTCCATACCTCTGGCCAAGTAATAATAAGAATTTCTGTGGTTATTTGATGTGGTGACTTTTCATCTTATTGTAGCCACAGCTGAGTTGTGGTGAGGTAGTGCCTGGTATAAACAAGTGGCTGGTGGCAGGATTCATTGGTTGCTGGCCTGGATGATAGTGGGCATGGCCACGTGGTTTTTCTACTCCAGCCTGCTTCCGATAACAGGCGCTTAGGGAAGTAACAGTCACCATTTCTACAGGCAGGGTGAAAGTGATTTCTGACAAATGAGCAGTATTTTGAGACTCTAGGTGACAGTTTCTCCACTCCTCCATTGTCAACATGAAGCTCTCCCCAAAATTAGAAATGTTGCAATCATTTCTGTTCATGCATAACAACTCCACTTTAATGCCAGCATGAGGGGGTTCATAGTAACGTCCCACTACTTGGAAATCATCCAAAAAATAATTAGCTTATACATATAGGCCAAAACATGGCCATTAAAATATACATGTGAATTAGATATTTAATATATATATGTATATATATATATATAATCTACAGCATGTAATATACACAATAAAATTAAAGTTAATAGAACAATCAGATATGGCTAACTGCCAACTACTTTTAAGACATGCCATTCGTTGATATATTTTGAGCAATGCTCAAAATGACCCTTGGGGAGCCACTGGACATTTAGGAATGTCACGCAGTCCATGTGTGAGGAAGCTCCCCGTGGTGTAGGTACAGTTGACAGTCTGAGGGTGCTAGAGGAGGATGTCTGACTGAGGGATAGGGGAAAGTGTTGTAGAAGAGGTGATTTTCAGTTGCTTGGAAAAAGACGGTGAGCATTGAGCTTGCAGAGAACAAAAGAGTATTGTGCCCAGAGAGGACAACAGTCTCCCAGACAAAACCTAACGAGTGAAGTTGGGCTAAGGTGCTGGATAGCACAATTTCCTTTTAAATGAAAAACCTCCACTATAACTATCCCACTCTTACGCTAGTCTGTTGAGACTGGGTAATGTCCATAACTGCAGGAAGATGGACTTTAAACTTACAAATTTCCTGTTGCTCTATTTCCTCATCAGGCTCACGTTCTATCATCTTATGCCGCAAACATATTCTAGGATTGTCACAGTACATTGGAAACAGCTCCTGCCTACCAAGACCATGGGAGTGTAAACCATAGATACTGTCATCATTAAATTCATAAATCCATGTCATTTGTGTGTCATTCACTCCATCCTCATTCATCATCCCTTACACTTTCAGAACAGCCAGCCGTTGGAGGACTTTGAAGAGCGGTTTGCCGCAGCCACACCGGTAAGAATGAGGGTCCTGTCTGGTTAGCTTTTTCATGTCATTGTGCCATCATTCATTTCATGCTCATCAGTCATGCCTTGTGGTTGCAGAACAGAAACCTACCAATGGACTTTGATGAGATTCTTGAGGCAACAAAGGTAAGGACTTGGGGCTCCTACTAAATGAAAATTGTACTGCTCATTCTCCTGCATTCCATATTGTCTTTGTCCATGCTGCATGAAAGGCGGTTGCTCTACTCGTGCTACTCCAATGGGTACCCAGTGTAATGTTCACAGGTGGGCCCTGTTGTGATATCAAGTAGTGGGAATTTATGCACATGCAGGTAGGTGTGTGTGTGTGGTGTGTGTGTGTGTGTGTGTGTGTGTGTGTGGGCGTGTGTGTAAGACAGTGTGATGACATCCCTTCTTTTCATTCAACAAAAAATTTTGAAGCCCCCTAACACAGCCCAGTCACTCTGACAGATGCTAGCAGGGCAGTGGAGAGGAAACACAGCCCCTTTCCTCCAGAAGCTCTTGGTATGACCTAGTTAACATTGCATGGGATAGGACAGGAGAGGGGAGAGAAAGAGTAGGATATGAGGCAAGCTCACTGGCACGGCCTAGAGTTGTCTAGTGTAACTGTAAAGTAGAAATTCATAAAGATGTGTCAAATACACCACAGGGAATCAAAAATAGGCAAGGCTGTTATTCATCTGGTATATTTTAGTATACATTTATTGGTTTGTAGCCAATGTTTATTCAGATTGTTTGATCACAAGCCAGTGAATATTATCATTCCTGGTTACATGGGACAGAGATTGTCAACCATGGTAGCTATTTAGAATCACTAGAAGAGTTCTTGAAGCCCAAGCTATGCCTCACACCAATTATTTCAGAATCTCTATGGTGAGAGCCAGGCATCAGTATTTTTCTACAGATGATTTCAATCTGCATCCCAAACTAAGAACCATTGATCTAGAAGTATCAGATAAGTTGTTCTGGGCAGTGGGATGGATTTCAAACTGAGTAGGAAATAATTCCCAGAAAAAAAATACAAAAGGTGAATTTGTGTCCTGAAAGAAGAGTGAGAGGCAGTGGGGAAAGAGATGAGTGTTCTAGATAGGGGAAGGAGCTTGTACAAAGGCTCTGGATGGCCTCTCCTTTCATAGGACCTGTGTTCTGTCTTCTTGCCACTACACTGATGGTGTGTGTAGGTCTGTCTTTCAGTAAAACAGCCAGCTCAAGATAGTAGGGACAGGAGCATGTCTTTCTCAGCTCTGTATCCCCTGCTCTTGGCACAGTAGTTAATGCGTGGCAGGAATTCCCATATCTTTACTTCCTGAAGGGTCCCAGGGGCTTCTGATGTCACAACATAGGGAGTGGCTCTGTGGGAATATATTGTAGGGTCAGCCCATGACTTCTCAGCCTTCTTCAATGAAAACCATTGGGATATCTCCCTAAGACGATCCAGATCTAGTTGCAACAGTTTAGTTAGAAGAAGGATCAGGGGACTGATCTTGAACCAGCAGTCACAGAGCACCCCACATACTCCTGGGACACTATTACTAGTTCAAATAAAAGAGTGGCTGGAGAAGAGTCAGGCCTGATGGAGATATTGAAGGACTGCCACCTGATGGAGATATTGAGGGACTGCCACCTAAACATCTGAGCCCCTTTTTATCTCCTTCACTGGCTGGGGAAGCGTCTACTGACACTGTGAGTACACCTAGAGAATACCAGGCACTCTAAAGAAGGGACAAACTTGTCATCTCCAGCTGCACCTCTCCCTACGGAAGACATCTAGAATGCCAGTAATGGAAGGGCCTTCCTCTGTGACAAGCAGAAGCCTTGACTGATGTTCCAAATGACTTCCTATGGATGCATAATGTAGAAGACCCCTTAGGAACCCTGGCCTCTGATTGGAGGATGTAGCTGGACTTTCCACCATTTAGCAAAGCCACCTAGGGTTTGGGGAAGCAACAGATAAACAAGGTAGCTCATTGGTCTGTGGGCCAATCCAAGTCCATCCAAGCTTCATTTTTACTGACTTGATCACAGGAAGGTCACTTAGCCTCAGCCTTAGTTAGCTTCTGGATAAAATACAGATAGTGACAGTGATGCCAGCTTTATTGGGCACAATAAGTGTCAAACATGAAAATAATGTATCAGAAAGTGTATTATAAGCTATAAAGTGTTTTACAAATGTGAACTCGCAGTTTTATTCTCTTGAGGCCTTTAAAGTGATTAATTAGGACAGCATTTTCAGATAGCACATGGTTTATTAGGTTACAAATAAAAGGGCTGGGCTTCACATGGGGAGGAGGGCTGTGAAAATAGATATTATTCCAGATTCTTAATCATACATGGTTATTCAGATTATTTTTAATTTTATGGCCCAAGAACCCTCTTTTTCTATAAAATTTAATTAACTCAAGGTTATGTTTAAACAGCAAATCCAGTGGAATGAAATAACAATCTATGTTTTATGCCTCCCCAAGTTTTTCTCGTTTAATCCTGAGTGAAGCTCATCCAGAAAGAGGAAAGCCTATATCTCAGGAAGGAAGGTTATTTTAAAAGTTGTACTTAAGGAGAAAATTAGCCAATAAATTGTATTTACGATGTTAGTAGAAGTATGCCATGGGTTCAACACATTTGAAATGTAAATCGTGTGACTTAATTATTAACTTCAATTTAATATTTCCCTTACACTGAAAGTAGTTGTGGGCTATTTTAAAAGCATCCAATTCCAATCACAAGGAAGCCTGGAAGCTTCATTTGAATTCATTAAACAGAATTAGTCTTTTTAGGAATTTGGGAGGGCATCTGAAGGACTGGCCTGGCTTCACCACACCACATAAGACATTGCTGACATGCTGAAGAAGGCTTGCAGAAGCGAAGCACTGAGGGTCTAGCCAATTCTGGAGAGCAACCTGTCTGCCCGCACCTAGTTCCCACTGGCTGGGGGCCTGTCACCATGTGAAAGGGAATCAATTAATGGAGAGCTGGCGAGGAGGACTGTGAAATGCACACAAGTCCCAGCACAACCTTGCAGGTCCTCTCACCTGCCTACATGAGGAAAGGAGAAGTCCATGCTGCACACCAAACAGCATCTTCCCCATTGTTCTTGCTGCTCCTGGCACATGCACGTCCATCTGCCTAGAAGGCCCTCCTCTTCTTTGTCAGTTGGCTAAGTGCTCCTCTCCTACAGGATTCAGGTTCTGGCTATTTCCTTTGGAAAACCCTTACTAAACTTCTTTGCCCCAAGCTGGCTAGGTGCCCTTTCCCCATTGCACCATCTAGAGAGGTCTGTTGCCGTTCCTGCCACGTTATCTTGAAATGATCTCCATCTGTGGATCATCATCAGAGGACCACAAGCTCGCTGCAGACTGGGACTTGGCATTTCTCCTTAGTACAGAGGCCAGTATCTGATGCTTGCTCAAGGTCTATGGTAGAATATTGTGTAGCTGGGAAGGAAATGAATACATACAGGCCCACCCATGTGCAGGACATTATTATTCAATCTGAGAGGTCAAGGGGGAAAAGAGGTGAAAGTGAGACCATAAGACTGAGTTTCCCTTTCAGCAAAAAAAAGTCTTTGGTGCCTGTTTAAGCAGGCATAGCCAAGCTTCAAAAATTCATTTGTTTCATAGATATATCATATATATATATATATATATATATATCTCCAGGTGCATAGCCAAAGGTAGGTAACTGTACAGTATCTTTAGTTCACCTGCATTTTGACTGGGGTCAGGTATAGAATTTTCCACTTGTGGCAACATGTCAAGAATTAAAAAATTTTAGATTTTGGAATATTTTGGATTTGAGGTTTTAAAATTAGTGATGCACCTCTAATGTTGTGGATAAGTATGTGAAGGATATGCTATCATTGCCATCAACCAGGTGAGAGAGCTGTAGCTCTGAGTTACAGAGATTGGAAGGGGGAGAACCAAAATAGATCCCCATGTGTGGGACCATTTCTTGAACCAGAGCTCACTCATTTTTCAGGAAGAAAGATACTCCTACCTTTATGTGACATCTGGCCAGGACCTGGTTAGAGCAGATTAAGCGTGCAGTGGAGAGGGGCGGGGGAGTTGGGGGAGGGGAGACTTGCTAACAGGGCAGTCAGACTCTCCCTGTGCCTTTCTATTGAGTGATGTTTTTAGGTTTCCTCATTTAAAAGCTATCACTTAAGACCCAAGGATGAGTACAGTGGTTTTTGCTCAGTGGGCAGATTTGCACAAAGCATGTGGTTATATGCCTTTCATAATTAAGTCGGGCTATTTGGTTCCTGGCCAGAGACTCTCTCTAGTCTCTGAAGCTGGAAGGGTATGCAGATTAATTTCTAAGTATATCTTAAAGGGACTCATCCACTGCTATGGCTAACCTAGCTCACACATTCTGTATGATGGATGGGAAGATGGATGATACAGTGTCTGCAGGGATGGGTTCCTGGGAGTGATTGATAGTGTATATACTGGGCTGTTTTTGATATCCTTCCTGGTATTAAATGAAATGCTTTCTTTTCCTCCCAACAACATTTTTTATCCATTGATAGACTCTTTCAGAGACTGCATATTTGACTGCATGCTCAATATACAGAAATTTCAAGTCTTGGCTTGAATGACCTTAATGTCACCTCTATGAGAATTAGTTTGTTCATCTGCAAAAATGGGGAGGACTAGCATTATGGGGAGTATTCTCTAAGAAGTGACCATAAAGTCATCCCTTGCATCCTTACACATGGAGGGTATCTTCTGTGTGTGAATACACTCATTTGAGGAAAAACAACCATAAGATTGCATTCTTGCCTTTATCCTGGAGGAAAGACACAGTCCCGGCATTCAATGGTAACTAAGGATGAAGTGGTTTTATTACTACTTATGGCTAATGGCCAGTATTGACCAAACTTAGGTAAGCAGCTGGCCACATCCAAAGTGTTGCCTTTGGGATCATGAGGTATAATTGTGACTGACTGGGCATACCAGTCATATAGTCATGATGAAAAAATAAACGTTTATCCTCCTATCATATGTTTTAAGGCAGGTCTGACAGTATCTGCTTTCCTGGTTACATGGCTTACTTTTTATCTTTTCAGGCTGTGACCCAATTAGAACTTTTTGGGGACATGTCCACCCCTCCTGATATAACCTCTCCCCCCGTAAGTATGTACTGCCCTTTCTTTTTCACAGGTGAGAATCTGGACTTTGGGTGAAAGAGGCCTATAGTGAGGCCTCTGCTATTTAAAAAGAAAAAAGGAATTATGATGTATGCCTCTGTTTTGAAAAATCAGTGAGATTGTGCATTCAGAAATTACAAGACATTGCCTAGCTAGCCCTTCCACTAGGCTCTAAGAAGGGAGGCAGGAAGAAGATGTGGTTCCTACCTAAAGGGAGCATGCAGTCTAATTGAGAATATGGGCAAGAAGTCACCGGGACGACAAACATGATAAGACATTTGTCTGCACCTCCCTGATCCTGCACAGTGTAGGTGGTCAGCCCAGGAAAGAAGTGTCTTCTGTCCTGTTATTCCTTTCACTCTCCCCTTTCCTTCCTCTCTCCCTCCTTTTCTTGTGTCCTCTCTCCCTGACCAACCTTTTGGAGCCTTGCAGACCATGACTTGGGCCTCCTGGAACTCCTCAAGAAGCTTTGAGTTCCCAGTCACAGCTTTAGTCAGAGAGCCTCAGCCAGTGTGTGAGAGAATGGAGATTCCAGGGAGTCCTAATTTGAGAATGAAAAGGAGAAAAATAGACTTAAAGCTAAAGCAAAATAAAAGCCCAGTGCTGGATGCACTTAAAAGCAACCCTGTAGCTAGTGTGAAATACAGAGCAGAGATGGCTCCTACAGCCTTTCTGCTCCCCTGCCCACTCACCCCGGGAGGTGGGCGGAGAGCAGTCAGCCACAGCTGCACCAGCTGAAGCTGCTGGGAGGGGTCTGTTCCTCTGTGCATCACGCCATTGTGCAAATGGAAGGATGGTGCTATGGTTCATTGGCGAGATGTGCCTCACAGAGAAAGGGCTGTAACCTCACCATGGAAGACAGATGGCCCGAAACCCTGTTGCCCAAAGCTGCCGCCAGGGAATCCAGGCACAGCTGCCTGACTTCCAACACCTGATACCAAGCACGAAGGAGGGGGATGCAGCTCCTGTCCCCAGAGGGGCTAGAAAGATCTAGGGATTCTGTCTCTTACATCCCCACGGTATTAGAACTCAGAGCAGCAGACCTGTGGGGCTGTGGAGCTAGGAAGCTCTGAAGAGCTCCTCCAGTCTTCACTACCCCTTCCCAGTCAATACACTACCCCTGCATTGTAGTGACCAGCAAACTGAGTCCCAGGGAGGACATGGGACTCATCCAAGATCACATGGGGGTAGAGGACAGCACTGACTGTAAAAGGACTTAACACAGCAGCTCATGCCTGTTTCTGGCCCTGAACCCAAGCGCAGCCCAAACGGATATTTAATAATCCTCAAAACAATGCCATTCGTCCTGCAAGCTGCTAGTCTAAAAATGGCCTTGTTCTAATTGCCATGGTTTCAGGATTAATTGCTTGCCCCAGTCTTTTCCAAGGGGGATAAAAAAGGATATTACAGAACCAAACAGACTTGTACTCTATAGGCAGAAGCCTGCAGTAAATGGGTATGGATGTTTAAGAAATGAGTACTGCTGTTTTTATTTCATAGCCCCCACATAACCCACTAGTTCACAAACCATACCTTTCTGGAATTCTACCATGGTCCAGGCAGGCACTATAGAACTCTCAGCTGTGCAGCCATTGTTGTTTTGTTGTTTTCTTGAAAATATTTACTTTTTTTTTGCAAGTGAAGATGCAAGCAAGAGTCTGGGAGGCAGCAGGATACAAAGACCTGAGTTCCATGTGCTAAAGTTTCTTCCTTCATTTAGTTGGCTGTTTACTGATCATGTATTAAGTGACAAGCCCTGAGCTGTGCACACAGTAGTTCTCAAGTGTGTACACTTATATTCAAATTGACTACCTGTAAAGGGTGAAAGCCAGATATTATGGAATAACTTGATGGCATGAAAACCCACAGAGGCAGGGGCTCAAATTTTTATAATAGTAGCCATCATAATCACCCACTAGATGCCTGTGCACAGGGCTAAATAATGTAATATAAAAGAATAATCATCTAAATGCATGGTTTCATTTAATCCCTGCAGCATCTCTAGAGGTACTGTTTTGCCTCTTCTACTGATAAAGTCTCTCACCAGCCCATGACCTGTGCAGTACATAAGTGACCTGGACTGTGGCTACTTCTACAGACCCCATTCCCACCATCCATGCTGTCTATTGAGGTGGTCTTATGTATCACTCACTCTCTCCTCTCTCTCTCTCTCTCTCTTTCTCTCAGACTCCTGCAACTCCAGGTGATGCCTTTCTCCCATCTTCATCCCAGGCGCTTCCAACGAGCGCGGATGTGTTTGGCTCTGTACCTTTCGGCACTGCTGCTGTACCCTCAGGTAAGCCTCTCTCACCACCTGCCTACCTCCCTCCTCACTCATCCATAAAGGGAAAGTGTTGACTGAGTCACCAAATCATGCCAGAATACCTATGGAACCATTGCTTTCTCCTGCAATTCTTTATGTGACATTGAGAGGCTGCCATGTGGATGGGGGGTTGGAGTTTGGGCTTAAAGCTTTGCTGTGCTGACAGGAATTCAGTGATTCTTCCATCCAGAGAGTTCCAGACTCCAGGTCACTCATGTGTATAGCACTGGAGGGCATGGAGCACACACAACCATGCAAAGAACTGTGGGCCCATTTTCTTCCGTCCACCTCAGCCAGGAGAGAAGGTGGTAAGCAGGAGAGATGGACCCAAGCTCACCATACACCTCTTGAGACCTGATAGATAGAAAGAAGATCCTTATTTGGTGCTGACTGAAGGAAAGGGTGGTTCCCTTACAAATTGGGGGGACCCAATGGAACAAGAGCAAGCTGTGAGCAGTGAATTGGGAGGAGCACAAAAATCTTACTGATTTAGAAAGCATTTCTTCTGTTTTCCAAATATTCTTTAAAACATGTATACCACTTCACAACAGAGTGAGAATATCATAACAGTACTGCAGGTGAGTTGCAAATGCATAAGATGCCGGGGATGGTGTTGTTTCCAGTGATATCAGGTACTTCCAGTAGCCAGGCTACTCCACCTGGCAATGGCCAAAGGTGGATGAGTTTAGGTTTTTACATACATGGGATCCTGAAAGAGTTTTGTGTTTTCCTGTAAGTATCTGCTTGAAATCTGAATCTTTCTTTCTTGACTTTATTCTTATAAATGGTAAATGAGATTTTAAATATTTTAGAATATAAATTTCTTGTGTTTTTTATAAATAATTACTTTTAATTGCACCGTGTTAGAAATGAATTCTTGCCATCAAATGTAAACCTTGCTTTTATTGTAAGTAAATTAAAAATGCAAACCCTGCTGTGAAATACAGTTATTCTTCATGAGCTGAGGGATCATTATGAACTTTTACAAGCAATAGAAGGTGTGACTGGATCTGAATTAGAACCCATGGATAGCCTAGAAATGTATTAACTGCTAAATTTCCCAGTTGAATCTCTTTTACTTAACTCTGAAATAGGATGGTAGTGATGACTCAATTTCTTAGTCTAAAATGGACACTAAAATCTCCTTGGAAATTGTTCAGTAGAGTGTGCCATATAAAAATATGAATAACATTTTCCATCAGAAATGCACCACCCAACAACAACAAAAAAGAAATGCACCACCCTCCTATGCTTGAGCCCTGTGTTCAGAATACCTACTCTTTGTGCCCATGGTTTTGTTAATAAAGATGTTGGGACAAATAATTAGCAACTCTAGGTCCCATGTTTACTAATCTGTGGGCATATTTAGTCCACAGCCATTCACTGGGTGCCTACTATGTGTCAGCTCCTGTTCTAGGTGCTTGGGGTATATTGGTAAAGACAGCAGATGGAGGAGAGCTTACCTCCTGTTGGGAAGACAAGCGACAACATTTAAAAAAAAACTAGTTAATAACATAAAATAAAATTAATAACTCATCCACTATGCCTAAAAAATGATAGTGATGTGGACAAAGAGAAGCATAGAGCATGGTTTGGAGCCCTGGAGTCTCTGCCAAAGAGGTGTGGTCAGGGGAGATGGCAGTAGACTGGAAAGGTTAAGGCAGGCATCCAGCAGGCTTCAGGAGTGTTTTCCAGACCAGATCAAAGAACGACTTGGCCCCTCCTACCCTCCACTGCCTTCTCTATAAATGAGAAGATGACACTAGATATAACTATATGTCTCTTCCAGCATTCCTGTTTGATTAAACACTCCCTGAGGACCTGTCTATGATGGGCACAGGACTACTGTGTGCCTTTTCCCAAGCCTGTACCAGATAACTGGCTTTGAACATTTGGTTTAGTGTTGCTGTTTAACCAGCTATGTTGCAAACTATGAAAACGCTATTTCTTTGATCGATTACCTCCAAGATTTCAATTTTGGGAACATGAGTCTAAAATTAATTTCAATTAGCATTTTTTTTGCTTTTTTGTTCTGTGTAAGATATACTTAAGATAGCTTCAGTTGGTATTGAACCATCTGCCCCTTTTCCTATCTTAACTGATCTTTAAAGTCTCTGCAGATAATTGTGCCTCCTTCTACCTGTCACCAACTGTCCAGCCAGGGCGGGGAAAAGGGCAATGAGCTAGGTGATGTCATACAAGGGATGCTCTGACTGCTAGGGACTTTTGATCTGTTGGGCCAGGTTAGAATCCTGGCTCAGCCGTTTTTATTAATAAGCGTTAGACTTCTGAGCAAATTACTTAACCTGTCAGAGCCAGAGTTTCTTCATCTTTATAACCAGGTTGGAAAAAAATACTTACCTTGCAGCAATATCATGAGAATTAAATGAGAAAAATAAAATTAAGTCCCCTGAAAAATGCAGACACATCGTAGATACTTGAAGTGCAAAATGATGTGATTATTATTATTATTATTACTCTGACTTCTAAATTAGAAGAACAGATGTCCTATCCTACCCTATTTTTTTCCTTTACCTTCTTGGATTTTATAATGCATATAATAAAGTTTAGGTCTTCAGTCTTTTGACTGCTCTTGGCAGGGGTAGTCTGGGTGGCATGGAGCACATACTTGTGTGAATTCAGGCTTTACCAAACCAGCTGCAGAATGCTCAACTCAATTTCTTCTGAGCCTCAAGGAACTTACCTGTGAAGTATGGATGATCATCACTGGACCCCTTAGGGCTGTGCTGAGGACTGTGTGAGTGATCACATGTAGGAAGACCTTTGTAACAACACCTGACAGTGTTTTAGAAGGCAGATCTCAGCAGATTTTTGTAAGCTGCTCATCAGCAGTCCTGGCTGTGCTGCTTATACACTGTGCCATGCCTTGCCCTCATGGTGCTGCAATTTCTCACATACAAATTAAAGAAATAGTGATACCAGCCATCTCAGAGGCTTATTAGAAGGATCAACTTCCCCAAAGTGGGAGCTTCACTTAGGCAATGATTATATATGTGTGTGTGTGTGTGTGTGTGTGTGTGTGTGTGTGTGTGTGTGATGTGTTCTTCATTACATCTTTATAGACTAAATCAGAACCAGGCACCCAGTGTATCTATTTTGAATGAATAAATAAATGGGTCAAATGAGGTAACAGAGTTAAGAGGTCTCATACAACCTCTATATAAGTGCCAGTATCCCCTTGTTTTCAGTGTTTTGCTTATATTTTAGTCTGCTTTTTTTTTCAAATAATGGGGGGGGGTGTTTCAAGGTGCTAGCATCTGGTTATAAATTGCAATTTTCAACACTTTAAAAAACCTAACTGCATGGCAGAAATGCAGGTGTTCCCTTTCAGCTCACAGCAAGGAGGTTTCCGATTGAGCTGAACTCCAAGTATAAACAGATGCTCCTTGGCACCTCCTCCCTCCACTGTTGCACATTAACAAGTAAATGGTTAACAAGTTGTTAAGTGGCTACTCCCCAAATCCAGTGCTTCTGGGTCCTGCTGCTGAGGTATCTCTTCAGGCATGCACAAGGTCCCAGGGCCAGAGAGCCTTCACTGCCAGGCTGGGGAGAGCTCAGGAACACCACCACCCTCCCCAGGAAAAGTGAGACCTGCAAACTCCCAAACATGGTACCTGATTACCCTGTGCTGCCTTTTTCTCTTCTGAATATTGTACTTTGGTCTGGAGCAGATGGCATGAAGCCAGAGAGACATGTAAATAGCTCTCTCCAGAGAAGTGTACACAGCCCATCTGTTAGTTTCTTGTGGGAAAAAAAAAAGAGAAAGAAGGATGGGAGGGGAGAGATAACCTGCCACTAACAGTAGAATAATCCAAGACCACAGCACTTGTGGATCTTGGAGTTCCAGTGTACTTTGGGGCAGTGCAGAGAAGACATTGGTTCCTGTATGACTTGTTCACCACCAAAGTTCTCATAGGCCAAGCATTTGAGCCTTATACTCAAAATAATGAAGCACTATGCAGATGGGCCCTGATTTAAGACTGAAAATGGTTCAACTTAGGATTTTTTTTTTTCCTTCTTTACAATGGTGTAAAAACATTCAATATAAACCATACTTTGAACTTTGATCTTTTTCCTGTGCTATCAATATGTGGTATGATACTCTCTCCAGATGTTGTGCAGCCACAGGGAGTCAAGCTCCCAGTCAACCATGCCGTCATAAGAAGAAATAGTGGATACCCCACAGTGTTCTGTGTTGCTAAGCTAGGACATTCAGTAAGGGAGATGAAATGCAGCTTGGCCCTCTAGTGTTTTCAGCTTAGAGTAGGCTTATTGGAGTGTAACCTCATCCTAAGTTAAGGACCATCTGTGTGTGTGTATTAAATGAGTCCTTAATGGCAGGGAGAAGATGAAATTTCTGGGTAGAAAGTGAAGTCTTCCACCTACTCACCAAAATGCACATCAGGGCCAACCAGGGCCTTTCAAAGATCCATGTGAGAACCAGTGCCCTTCTTATAACAAATATTTGTAATATCACCTTTAATAGCTTTAAATGAAATTCACAGATAATAATCATTTTTCAAAAATCAGTATAATGCTCTAAAGGTATTATACATAAAATAGAAATTAAAGATAATTTATAATAAAATACATATTTCAATAAGGAAATACTCAGGCATGAATACACTACAAGGCATAGCAAGTAATCACATGTTTATATCTACAAATAGACTCACCATTGAAAGTTCAGCAGCAAATACAGGCTGATACACAAGTGTCATGTTGGTTCAGCCACCAAGAGAAGTGTTTCTGTCATTCCAAAATGGTGTTCCAAATGAAATAAAATGAATTTTTCCCTCAATGTACACACTTGTTAAATTCACAAAAAGTTAGGCACAAAGAAACTGAATTTCCACATAAATCAGTCAATTTTAAGCTCAAATAATCACAAACAGATTTTGGGAGAATTCATTACTGTGTGCATTGTTGTTACACATTATAGGATGTCATCAATGCTGGGAGCCCCTTTAACTACAAAAACAGGCACTACAAATTACCTTAGCACCTCTAGGGGGCAGTAGCACTCCCACTGAGAATGACTGAGCTATACCAAAGTAAATCAAAAAATAAGTAACAAAGAGGCAGACCGTTGGTAGACTCCAGTCACTATATTAAGTATGTAATAGATAAAGCAAGAAGAGTAAGTTTCATTTGAAAGTCCCCACTCCCCACCAGATCTTCACCCATCTTAACTTCAGTGCAATTGACTAAGATTTTATAAGGATAGTCTCTATTTTGTTTGATAATATCTCTGAATCATTCCTTAGAAGCATTCATTGTTCTGTTAGCCATTTGTGTCTCTCTGGAGCCACTCAGAGGCAGTATAGCATGAGGAGCAAAATGGACAATGGCCAGGAAATGCCAGGCTTTGAATGTTGACTTGATCCTGTATCTATCTACTGAGGGGCAGATCCACTGAGACTGGAATGGAGTGAGCACCCTATACATGATTTCATTAGGCTCACCAGAATTACTAATGCGACCCATGATGTAATCAGTACCCGAATCCCCACCCGTCATCCCATTGGAAGTTTCCACTCCCCTTTTTGTCCTGGTCTCAGTGTAGTGCACCTGAAAATTCCTTCTGGCAACCATGAAAATGCTTGTTTTGAGAGGCCAAAAAAAGCTAGCTTCTCTACCCTCTGCTTTGCCTGGATGGTCATTTTTCTCTCAGATTCAGTTATACTTGCCAGTGGCCATTATGCCCCCTGAGAAACATGGAGACCACTGAAAACATGTGAAAATTTCCAATAGACCTGCAGAGTGCTATAACATCACAAGGTAGGCTAGGTCCATTGACTGTGAATGATCAGAAGTTGGTTTTGGCCATCTGGATAAGACAGTGGGGCACAAAGGAAAGGATACTGACTTCAGGGACAGACAACCTCAGTTTAGATACTGACCCTAAGCAAGTTGCTGGAAAAGCAATCTCTGAGCACCAATTTTCTCATCCCTAAAATTGAAACAATACCTACCATTCTGGGATTTTGTGAAGATGTAAAACGGTGTACCTGCACATTATAGGCATTTACTAAGTGGAAATGATGGCTGTTACTATTATTATTGTAACAAGTGTCACTAGTGCTCTTGTTAAAATATATGTATCTGACCTGAAAATAATAATAAGTCAAACAGTTAGTGTGGTAATATATGTGATTACATGCCTTGGAGTTTTGTAGTGTCCAAACCGTGCCACTGGATGAGGTACCATGATTGGATAATAATCTTTCATTTTGTATTCTCTAAAATTGGAATAATAATACCTGAATAACATACCATAGTACTCGCAGCTACCATTTCATGCATGTCTGTCATGTACCAAGCAAGGCCTAAGTAATGTATAGACTTTGGCTGGTTCAAACCATGCCATTATCTAACATTTACTGAATGTTCACTAGTATCAGGTGCAGTAGTTTATACCTTGAATTTGTAATCACAATCTTCAAACCAACCCCATGAGAAGGCAGTGTATGGCTATTTTCCAGATAAGGACATGGAACCTTAGAGAGGTTAAGAAGTATGTCCCACAGATAAGAAGTAGTCTGAATTTTAACCTAAGCCTCAAAACTTGCAATATTCAAATTCTTGTTCACTTTGTATGCTACCTCCATGCTGAAAAGGAAGGTATTGTTACCTGGCCTTACAGCAAAGAGACTGACTCTTTAGAGATCTTAAGCAAATTTAACAAGGACAGGCAAGGAAAAACCCAGGCAGGCCTTCTTTCCAGTCTTTTGCCCTTTCCACTGACAAATACTGGTTTGTAAGGCCATGAGATTTTTGTTTGTGCTGGCGTCCCCAAATCCCAGCACACAGCCTGGCCTTTAGGAGGTGATCAGTACATTTCAGTGAATCACTCAAACCCATGCATTCTCCTGACCCTCCTCTTTTGCCCTTCTAGGTTATGTTGCTATGGGCGCCGTCCTCCCATCCTTCTGGGGCCAGCAGCCCCTCGTCCAACAGCAGATTGCCATGGGCGCTCAGCCGCCAGTCACTCAGGTGATGCCAGGGGCTCAGCCCATCGCGTGGGGCCAGCCGGGTCTCTTTCCTGCCACTCAGCAGCCCTGGCCAACTGTGGCCGGGCAGTTTCCGCCAGCCGCCTTCATGCCCACACAAACTGTTATGCCTTTGCCAGCTGCCATGTTCCAAGGTCCCCTCACCCCCCTCGCAACCGTCCCAGGCACGAGTGACTCCGCCAGGTCAAGTCCACAGAGCGACAAGCCCCGGCAGAAAATGGGGAAGGAAATGTTTAAGGATTTCCAGATGGCCCAGCCTCCACCTGTGCCCTCCCGCAAGCCTGACCAGCCCTCCCTCACCTGTACCTCAGAGGCCTTCTCCAGTTACTTCAACAAAGTCGGGGTGGCACAGGACACAGATGACTGTGACGACTTCGACATTTCCCAGTTGAATTTGACCCCTGTTACTTCTACCACACCATCGACCAACTCACGTGAGTGTCCTTCCCTTGAGACGTAAAATGAGGGTGGTGCCTTGCTTCTGGCTACTGGGTTTCCGAGTCTGGGAACTCATTTCACTTAAACGCATCAGGTTCTTTGTTGCTCTAACAACATAAGTGCTACCAATTCAGGCTCCAGTTATAATGTACACACCTTCACCATATGCTCCAGGATTGTTTTTATAGTCAGAACACTGCTGACAAACTTTGTTAGACCTGTTTGACAGACAATGACAGGGAGGTTCAAAGACAATGATAACCGATGAAATGGTAGAATTTGGAATACAATCTTGGTGTTTTGCACAATGTCACTGCGACTCATGACTTTGTTAGTTTCCTCTTTTGTTCATTCATTCATTCATATATGCCAGCTTATTGAAATGGAAAGGAATGGAAAATGTAATTCTTTTTAAAATTGTAGGAATAAGGTTTAAAGATTAGGATAGAAAATTAAGATCAGAAGAAAATTTAAAGCACAGTTATAGCAGCCAGAAGTAGCTGTGATGGTTGAAGTAGGATTTTGACTCAAAGCTTCTGGTAGTAAAAGAAAAGAAAGATGGCAGAGCAGGATGTTCTGAACTGGAAACTTAGAGGTCTCTATTCTTTACTAGTTTTGTACTGAGGGCAAGTAGTTTTATTTCTGTGAGCCTCATGTTCTTTACCTGTCTAAGGCTATCGCTTATTAAAAGGCTTTATTTAGTACACATGTAAAATATGTATCTTATAAAACAGGTATTATTATCATGTGCAGAATCCCGGGCAGGTTACTAGTGTTGGCTTCTCCACTAAAACCTGTGTCTTTGAACAAGCATCTGACTCCTGTGAAACTCAGTGTATTGGTTGAATGAGCAGCACAGCTCCTTGGAGTCCCAGCATTCAGTGATTCTACCCCAGCTCACTTTCCTACTGTAAACGGCCAGAAAACAGAACCCAACCAGCCAAACCAGAATCCACATACATCTGAGCACTCACACGAGTGTGCTTGTTTAACACAATTCAGAAAAGGTGTTCTGGTGACTCAGTCTGTGCCTGACAATTGATAAGGAGAAAGGAAAGGCTCATGGTATGATGAGTTTGGTGTTTTCATTACTGTCATCGGTGATATGGATCACTGCATAGTCAATACCATGGAATGTCAAAAAAATCTAATGTTAACACAATTAGATTTTATCATTTCAGCCAGGTTCAGAATGCTGTTCTGAAAATGAATTCCTTCTATGTGTATATAAAAACCTACATGCATTCCAGGTCGTAGAATCTATAAAGTGGAGGCTTCTATTAACTCTGATTCACAGAGTTTCAATGAAGAATGATGAATAAAAACTGAAATGTTAAAGAAATAACAGGCATGCATAAATGAATAGCATCTTTTAAAAGCAAATGTCTCTCTTTCAATGAACTTGTGTGCCAGCTGCAAGCAAAAAAATAAGAAAAGGAAATTTAAGTTGTTTGAGGACAGGGAAATGTCTTTATCATTCCCACACATCCCACAATGCTAGCACAATGCCTAGCACATGGGAGGCACTGCGGAAGGTAGAGAAAGAAGTAAGTCAAGCAAAGGCCATTTAGCCATGGTTGTTTTTTAGAGCAGAGCTTTGCAACCATGGCACTGTTAACACTTGGGGGCAGGTAAGTCTTTGTTGTGCAGAGCTGTCATGTGCACTGTAAGATGTTTAGCAGCAGCCCTGGTCTCTACCCATTAGGTGCAAGTAATATCCATCCCTTCCCTCTAGTTGTGATGATAAAAAATGACTCCAGACATTGCCAAGTGTTCCCTGGGGGGAGGAGGAAGATCACCCCAGATTGAGAACACTGTTAAAATCTTTTAAAGATTAAGACAATTATATAAATAAGCTCCTAGTGTTTTCCATTGATTTCATCGGGTAAGTACAAGCAATAACCTGTCAGAATTGGCAGCTCAGCCTGAGTATTCAGCCTTTGGTAAGTAATAAACCACTTCAAACAAAATTCAGAATCCAATTAAGCTGACTGGAGGTGATGGCATATGTCTGCAATCCCTGCACTATGGAGTCTGGACCAAGAGGGCTTCATGTTCAAGGCCAGACTGGACTATGTATCAGAAACCCTGCCTCAAAAAAAATCCAACTGAGCTAATGTTTATTAAATATCTACTACCCATCAGAATGCTTTTAATATAGCTTTAAAACTACTACATGTAGTTGGTTCGGAAATCACCTCATGAACCACCACAGACTTCCTTTCAAATAAAAAAAAATTAATGTTTTATTTGAAATAAAATTACAGAAACCAGTCTATCTCCTCTTACCTATCAGTGTCCACTTGAGAATGCTTTAAGCAGATGATCATTTGCACCAAAAATGGACCTTGAATAGAAAGAACTGTGAATCATGCATGTCAGACAGATCTGCATTACATCTCAAGGCTCAGAGCTCATACTTGACAGCTATGATAACCCTGAGCAAGTCAGCACATCTTGTCTGGGCTGTAGCTTCTAACATTTGCAGGGGGGTGGGTTGTGCAACACCACATCACATGGTTATTAGCATTGGGAGTATAATGAATGGAAAGTGCCTAGCACAGTGTTTGACTTACTGGCCCGTTGTAAATAATAAGAGTCTGAAATAGTGTCATTATTCTAAATATAGGTTCATCAAAATAAAACATACCCACTTAGTTTTACAATCACTGACGATCTGATAACCTGCTATATTTTCTGAATTCTGGAACATTACAACAGTGAGGCCTTATCAATTCAGCTACTAAATCAAGCCATCTCACTTCCTCTTGGAGCTTGATCAGTGACTGCTGTTTTCTAGGTTAAATTAGAAATTATTAAAAGAAGAGTAGTTCCAATGTTGTGTTTATTATAAATGTCTAGAACAAGTAAGAAGAGGAAAATGTGGGAGGGTCAATACAGTAAATGCACCTTCATCAGTCACCTCTGTTCTCCCAAAGCACTGACACCCTTATTCATAGCATGTGTTTGTTGACTACCTTAACTATGTGCCAGAATTCAAAGCCTGGGTTCCACAGGTTGCCATTGAACAAATTAGCAACCTTCACTTCCCTTATCTGAAAAACTGGGATAACCTCTACCTCAAAAGAGCTTTATGAGGGTTAGGGAAATTGTAAAATTTCTAATAGGTACTCAATAAATGTGACCTCTGATGAAAACATAGAGAAGAAAGAAAGCCATTGACCAGTAGCTCTCAACTTGTGCATGTGTCGGAATCACCTGTAGCAGTTGTTCAAACACTGAGTTTCTGATTCAGTAGCTCTAGGGTGGGATCCAAGCATTGGCATTCCTAACAAATTTCCAGATGATGCTCCCACTGGTGGTCTAGGGACCATCCTTGAGAACTGCTGCCTTACTCATCAGTGTGGACAAGCTCCTTTCTTATCAAGTATATGAGAGGAGAAGATAAACATGTACAAGGGAGGAATTCAAATATTTAGATGATTTGATTTGGAGTGGGGAGAGGAATTCTGTGATTTGACTCCTGTAATCCTTGAGATTTCTGTGGGATATAAATGGTTACAACCAGGCACCTAAGCTGTTTCTTCTTTTCACATCGTCTCTGTGCAGCTCCAACTCCAGCCCCTCGGCAGAGCTCTCCATCCAAATCATCTGCATCCCATGCCAGTGATCCCACCGCAGATGATATCTTTGAAGAGGGTTTTGAAAGTCCCAGCAAAAGTGAAGAGCAAGAAGCTGTAAGTGACTGGCTTGATATTTCTGTTTTGTCTTTCCTTAAAATTAAAATGTCCATATCTGAAATGAATGGTGCACAAGGAAACCTGTGTAGAAAAGAATGCTGGCTCAGACACTGAAGTTCTAAAAGGTTGCTAACAGGACTTTCTTTTATGTTCAAAGGCAGCAACTAGAAAATACTCTACTTTTGTTAAATTGTTACAAGCCTTGCATTCGTGGGGTGGCATTTCTGACTGAAGTTGCACCTTCTTTAAAATAACTGATTATGTGTGCTGCATGAAAATAGTCTGAGTTGTTGTATATTTTCAGTTGCTGAAAAGAAAAAAAAAAAGTGTTATCTTCTTGTGTTCTAGCCTGATGGATCACAGGCCTCCTCCACCAGTGATCCATTTGGGGAGCCCAGTGGTGAGCCCAGTGGTGATAATATAAATCCACAGGCCGGTAGCTAGATAGCGCAGGTCTGGGTAGGTATCTGTCCTTTTTATCTCCTTCACCCTTATGTTGTCTGCTTTCCCTTTTGCTTGTTCTTTACCTGTGAGGTCATATTTCCAATATTTGAACTTTACTCCTTGCCTGCACTGTATCACCTGTATTTGCACCATGTCTCCTTGCCTGTGCCGTGTGCTGTATTACCAGTGTTGCATTATCTCTCCTTGCCTGGTTTCCTCTTCCCCTTTGCTTTTTCTCATGGATGAATGACCTTTGACATATACCAGAAGGTAGGGTTGTGGGGAACATTATTTTATTTTGCTCATTATTAATGATATGTTCTGAGTGAGTGGTAGTGATAGAATGAGGCATGGTCAACATTACTTAACACGGAGTGAGTTTCTAAAAGCATCAACATTCTGGGATGGACACATTCTGCCCAACCTGATAATTTCTCAGTGAGATGTGGTCCATATGCTTTTAATCTTTTCAGCAAAATGTCACTGCATTTGCCTACATGCCACAGATCTAAAGAGGTCACCCATCAAACACAATGGGAAGTCAGGCTGTGAAGAAAAAGCAAGCAGTGCTTGAAATAAGATTGATCAAGGTGTAAGATCATGGTAGCCCTTTTCATCTAGCCAGCAAGGGCCCTGAACTCCCTTTCCAATATGATAGTAAATTTCAAAGCCCAAAGACATATAGCTGTCATTTCTGAGACTCTGCTGTTTGCACCTGTGCTGTAGCATGTGGTTTGCCACCAAGTCACTTCAGATTCCATCAGCCGCTACTTTGAGAGAGGTGTACTTACATTTACTAGAAGTGGCTTTGGGCACTTGAATTTCAATACATCTGATTTGATGGAAAGAAAGAAGAGCTGATGAAGCAAACTTTCTCAGAAGATAAAAGTACACCTTATTACCCAGACATGATTTCTAAGGTCACTCCTTGACAAATGTGTTCAATTTTCAGATACTTTCCCAGTTTTCCATAAACATATAGGACTGCGAGACCATCCCCAAAGAGCTCTTTCTTTTAGCATGATCAGAGCCATTAAAATGGTAAACAGTCTACACTGCTCATAAATGGATTCTGAGGCTTCTTCAGAATCATTCTCAGTCCACACATACTTTATTCTGACAGTTACTGAAAGTTAGTACAGTGTTTCAAAAGTGCATTTTGTTAGATTTTATGATTAAAGAACTTAACATATGTATATTTGCCACATTTTATGTTAGTACAATAACTTGTAATAATACATCATGCCATGTAAACCCCCATTCAAAATTCAGTCTTGCAAAACTATTTTGAGAGCTGGTCTATTAAAGGCAAAGTCAATGCTATAGAAAAGAGAAAAGTTGAGGATTATGGTTCGTCTCCTTGGGATGATTCCAAGAGGTTTTCTACCTCTTATGTATGTTGTACTTTATATTCTCAATTCTTCCCTGAAATATTTGATGATTGAACTAAAGGTGGCAACAGCCATTCATCAGGATAGCAGAAAACATCATCTTAAAATTGAAGTTCTGGAAAACAAAGGTGACTTACACCATTTGCAGATCAATGTAGCAAACCTGCATCTTCTTGGACCTCTTCAGCTTGAGACAATTATGCAGTCTGAACTGTTCCATGAGGCTTTGCTCTGTTCCATATTTGCTGCTCCATCTGGAATCCCAAGTCATGGCTAAGTTGTAAGTGGACAGAGCTCCGTATAATGGCAAGAGCTCAGGATTTGGAACTTGAGTTCAAATTCTAGCTCAGCCGCTTAATAGTGGGAAATGTTGGGCAAGAGCCATTATTCCTTTTGAATCTTGGGTTTTTTTGTCTGCTAGAAGAGGCTTATATTATCCTTGATGTTAACTGAGATAGCATAAGTCAAGTCTCGAGCATGGAAACAGATACTGAGTACTCAGCTTAAAAAATCTGGGTTCTGGGTATTGTTGTCTGACTTCAGAATCTGACTCCACCACTTCTGAGGTTTCATAACCTGTCTCTAATCTTATTCTCTTCATTTGAAAAATAGGCATAATATCTGCCTTATAGGATACTGGATGAATTAAATAAGTTAATGTATGGGAATCCTTAGTACAGTGTCTGGCACATAGAAAGCACTACATAGATGTTAGCAACTATCAGTAGCAGCACCACCACCAGCATTACCACCACCCTCATCAACACTACCCCACCACCATAACTATCACCATCACTGCCATCATTATTATGTGTTCAATTAAACAGTGGCTGTCTACTACCTTGGATTTTATACATTTAACCCTTCTGATGCTTGAGGCCATTAGTTGGGATGCTTTGCTTGATCCTTTCTATCTCCAGATAATTAATATACGATATACCTCGAAAAATACTTGTGAGGGGGGGAAAAAAAAGCTTGTTTAGTAGCTCTCCAGCTTTACTTGTCCCATAATCAGAATGATCCCAGTTTGAGCTTCGAGGGCCATCTCTCACTTCCAAAAACTGAGCCACCTTAGATTTGCATGTGAACCATAGTAAGTCCCTCCCAGCTCCTAAGAGGGCCAAACTGTAGACTTTAGTGAAACACGTTTCTCATTTTGAAAGCTTAGTGTGACCATTTCACAGGTCCCTGTGAAGAAGTGTGTGCCTGGGGGGTGTTGCCAGACTTGTAGTCAGGTCCCCTATGACCTCCCCATGGGGGAAGCCCAGATGAACATTCTGGATCACTCCATCAATAGCAGAATATGCCACATGGTTCATCTCTCTGTCCCCATCCCCTTGACCCTATTACCCCATTGGAAATGTACTGACTGAAATTTCTTAGTGCTTTTCTACACATTTAGCAAAGGGAGACCATGCAGAGAGAGTTTATTTTCCCCTCTCCTTTCATAGAGTGGGAAAGCAAGAGGCCCATCCTTCTTATCACTCTTGCCACCATTATCTCCAGCTGCTTTTTTTATTAGAAATAGCCGTACAGTTCTGAGTAAGTAGGGATGACATCTGTTGATAAGTTAAAGCCATATTGCTCCAGAATAGAGGAAACAGACAAACTCAATCCCCTCAGGTGTGAGCTTCAGGCCAATCCCAAACATTTCTCTTTTCGCAATAAAGGAAAATATCTTCAATTATTTCACTTTTCCCTCCCTACCTTCCCATCTGGGAGAATCACGTGTCTTTGAAAGACTGAGTCAACAGGGGCAAAAAAAGAACCAAAATAATATTATAATGGCTGGTGTGGGAATGGCAGGTAATTTATACTTCACTGATGTGTTGGCTGGAGCAATTTTGAGGGCGAAATGTTAGCTTTTGAAGAGATGAAAGAAAAATGAAAACATTTATTTGGTTAAATGGCTAAGTAAATAAACTGCCTATCAGACTTTCCCAGCTGTCAAGTCAAAGTAGCATCTGTAACAATGGGAATTGTTTGGTCTGTCTCCCTGTGTAACAATAGATAGTGCCATAAATAATAAGTCACTGTTATTTTTTTAATACTGATCTTCATAGTGGGAACTCAAGACATATAAAGTATTACCTGGTAGACTTCTAGTATTCAAGAGAAAAGAAAGCTGAATTTCAAATGCTTTGGGAGGGGGAATCTTTGTGAGAGAGGGAGGAAGGGAAGCAAAGAGAGAGAGAAGAAACAAGGGGCTGGGGTCAGTCAGGGGTCTGCAAAACCAGTTACCTTAGGCAAACATTTATTCTGTCATATGGAGAAATACAGATAATTACAGTAGCTTCCTTTTTAAACTGTCCAAGAATCACATGAGATCATGAATTTGAAAATAATTTGTAAGCTTTGGAAGTAAAATCTATGTATTTGGCTTATTACTAGCATCCTGATTATAATAGAACTAAGTAACACAGCCCTAGCATCTAAATAAATAGATAAATAAGTAAAATCTGTTTCATGTGTGTAGAAGTCAGAATCAAGTCCAACATAAGCTTTTGGAGTCAGACCTTCATGAAGAGGCACCCTTTGGGGCTCCCACCTGGAAAGCTGTTGGAATAGGTTAGGATGGAATGAAAGGTGGCCAGGGTATGGCTGAGGACAGTATCCAGTAGAATGAGAAGATGGGCTAGGTGCCAAGAGATATTTCAAAGATGGATTTGGCAGGAGGTAAAGACTGAAGGGACACCAGAGGTAAAGAAGAGGACATAAGCCAGAGTGACACTGTCATGGAGTACTAAGTGGTACCAGTCACTGTGCTGTGGGAAACAGTGCAGCATACTTAAGGAGAAAGAAGGTAAGTTTACTTTGGGACCAACTGAATTTTAGGTGCCCATTGGACAGCCAAGCAGAGATGCCAGTAGGCTGCTGGATAGAACTCTAGGAGGTCAAAAGAGAAATCAGTAGACATGAAGATTTCAGAATGATTCTCAGCCATTGGAGCTGTGGGTACCAGAAGGATATGCTGGTCATCTAGAGTAGAGGTTGACACACTGTATTACTGGTGCTTTGTGGGCCATGCAGTCTGTTGGAACCACTCTATGCCTGTAAGTAGGAAGGCAGCAAAAGATGATGCATAAACAAGTGGGCATAGCTATGTTCCAATAATACTTTATGTACAAAAACATGCAGCTGCCAGAATTGGCTAATGGACCACAGTTTATTGATTCCTGATTTAATTCACACTTATAGCTTCTAGGATCACGGGGTAGAAGGTAACCACACGCCTTTCATCTCTACTACCACCACATCTTAAAATGACTGGCACCACTTAATTCAATCCTCATGGGAACATACTTAAGTTTTTTGTTTTTGTTTTTGTTTTTGTAGTACAGAGGTTTGAACTCAGGACCTACACTTTGAGCCACTCCACCAGCCCTTTTTTGTGTGTGATGGGTTTTTTCTCAAGATAGTTTCTCACAAACTTTGGCCTGGGCTGGCTTTGAACCTCAGTCCTCTTGATCTCTGCCTCCTGAGTAACCAGGTGTGAGCGACTGGTGCCCAGCAAGTTTTTTATTTTTCTTTTATTGTTCTTGCTTTATAACTATGTCAAATAATGTACAGCGGTTAATACCTACTAAAAATCCTAAGATTCACATAGGATAGAATTGAAATCTA